AAAAAAAAAAAAAAAAAATGCCATCCTCCACTGAAAGGAACAGATTCCCTTAGAAAAATAGCTGAATCTGAGACTAAGTCAGAGAAAGAACAAAAGAAGCCACAAATATTTTTCTGTGCCAGATAGGAAGTACTCAAAGAATGAGAGCTATGTCAAAAGGCACATGGGGTCAGATTGAAGGGGACTGGCCAACTCTTAGACCTTTTGAGCATTGTAATTAATTATGAAGTAATGGGTTACAATCCATTAAAAGAAACAGTGATTCATAGGTCCATGACATGAAAATAAATGAAAACAGAAATCATAGAGAAGGTGTGGAGTAATGGAAGTTTTCAACCAGAATTCCTACCTGGCCTTGATAATAATATGCATATAAGGACCTGTCTGCACATCAATGTGATGTTTACTGTAGCAGAGCCACTGCTCAGTCACAGAATTGCCAATGCCAGTCCTAGTTAAGGGGTGAGAGTGGCAGCCATTCTCTCCTCCCCTCCATTCCTGGTACATAATTGTAGGTGACTTCCAGTCACCAGGGACCAGTCCAAATAGTTCCTCCCAGAGGAAGGGGCAGGGAGAGTGGAACATGTGGGGTGAAGAGGAGAAGCTGGGGAGCGGAACCAAGCAAGACGGGGTGAAGCCCACTGAGAGAGAGCGAGAGAGCAGAGCATGCGCGGTTTGGAGCAGAGTGCTGCAGGGGAGAGAGACTGAACCATGGGAAACAAACCTTTAATGCCCGACCAATGCTTTCCTTTGTCATCCTCAGTATCTTCAGATTCTTAGGGAACTTTTCCCAGGCAGAGAACCCCCTTCCTCCTGGATTCACAGAAGGAAAGTTCTTCCTTAGAGAAAAATGCTAACTAGTAAATCTGGAAGGAATTATGAAGATAGAAAACTCACCATATGATAAACACCATAGTCATGATTGATTCAAGTGGAAAGTATGAAAGAATGCTAAGACTGTTGGGTGGAGGTTTTATGGAGAACAGTAGACCAGTCAAGCTTCAAGCAGAGAAGCAGAACCATTAATAAATTTTATATGTAAATATGTATATATGCATATATATTTTATAGATATGTGATTATATATGTAACTTAAATATATAATTCATAATTTTATTATATAATCATGTATTAACAGCTTACATAATACATATTATATAATTAATTTTTGAGATATTTTAAAATTTTAGTTGAAATATAGTTGATATACAATATTATATTGATTTCAGGTGTACCACATAGTATTTGACAATATATATTAGTAAATGATCACTGTAAGTGTAGTTGCTGTCAAAAAGATATTAAAGTATTATTAACTATACTCCCCATGCTGTATTTTCATCCCTATGACTAACTTATTTTATATTTGAATGTGTTTGCCCCTTTATCTCCTTCACCAATTTCACCCTTATACAATTTATATTCTATGTTTTATTATATGTAATAATTTATCATTATTGTACTTATAATAAGTAATGTGTATACATACTATATGTGTGTGTGTGTGTGTGTGTGTGTGTGTGTATATTATATCCTTGTAGTAAGATTTGGCCTCATGCCATTGAGGAAGCAGGTGAGGCAGACTGCAGTCTCTGTGTGATGTTGGAGTTTTAAGTCCAGAGGGCAGGCAGTGAGCAAGGGAAAAGTGAATGTAAAGTAGCTGGGGAGGAAGGGAAGCAAGAATGAATGGGCTGGAATACAAACGCAAGCAGCAGACCATGAAGACTGAAAACTTACAGCTGCTCTTGTTGTTTCTGATGTTGATGGTATCTGTGTCCTATAAAGTCAAGCATCTTACCTGACCCAAGAGTCAGAGAAGATGAAAAAGGAACCAGGGAGAGGTGAACAGTTGCAAATCTGGCCACTACATACTAGTGAGGTGACCTAATAGACAAGTGGCAAGGTGCAAGAACACAGAGGGCTGCTGCCTCACTTCCACCCTCTGGTTCTGCCCAGCCCAACCAGAAAAATTCTGGGAAGTGTAGTTTAGCCTGGTCAAGTTGATACACTACAGAGCCATCATAAGTGGTATATAGGTTTAGACTTAATGTATCTTCCCACAAAATAGTTAATGTTTCCAAAGGGAAAATGGTGACTTTAAGGTAGAAAAACGTGGCAGAACCAACCTGCTGAAGGTTTACATCACTTCTTGTGGAAAGGGTGATCTTCATGAGCTTCCTCATGCCCTTAGAAGGACATGGCATCATTCCTCTGGCAGTCCTACCAAGAAAGCATGACCGTGTCTGGACCTGAGGAAACCTCATAAAGATCCAGGTTGAGTGACATCCTACAGAATGAAAAATATGTACTTTTTAAAAACATCAAGGACATAAAAGGCGGGAAAGGCTGAAGAACTGTTTCAGACTTGCTGTGACATTAGAACTAAATGCAAAGCATGACCCTGGATGGCACCTTAGAACAGAAGGGAAAATAGATCTGAGATATGGATGGATTTTAGGTTTGGTTGTAGTGTTCTATCAATGTAAGGTCCTGTTTGGGATGATTGTGTAGCAATTACATTGGTGAGTGTCACACTGAAGTATTTGAGGAAGAAGGGACACCACATCTGCAAGTTGCTCCTAAGTTGTTCAGAAAAATAATAATGATAATGGAATATATTTTACATGTATTCACAGGAAAGAGAGAGAGAACAAATGTAGCAAAAAATAATTAGGGAAGCTACAATGAAGGTGATTTGAGAGT